AGGAGCCGAGGGGGGACATGCCACTACTTCCGGGAGCCACACAGAGCCACGGTTAGGCAAGGAGCCTACCTTAGCCCCGCTGCACCGCTGACCAGACTTTTAATGGACATGCCGCTGCTTCCGGGAGCTGCTTGAGGTAAGCGCTGCTTACCTCACCCCGACCCCCTTCCGCGCCCCAACCCTCTGCCCCAGCCCTGATCTCCCTCCCACCGTCCAAACCTCTCAATCCCAGCCCAGAGCATCCTCCTGCACCCCAAACCCCTCATCCCCAGCCCCACCCCCCCAGCCAGAGCCCTCACCCCCCCGCATCCCAACCCCCTGCCCCAGCCTGATTCCCCTCCCGCCCTCCAAACCTCTTGGTCTCAGCCCAGAGTACCCTCCTACACCCCCAAATCCCTCATCCCCAGCCCCACCCCAGAGTCTGCCCCCCCCAGCTGGAGCCCTCACACCACCCCACCCCTCGCACCCCGACCCCTTGCCCCAGCCTGGTGAAAATGAGCGAGTGAGGGTGGCGAGAGCAAGCGACAGAGGGAGGGGGGATGGAGTGAGCAGGGGCGGGGCCTCGGAGGAGGGGCGGGGCAAGGGTGTTTGGTTTTGTGCGAGTAGAAAGTTGTCAACCCTAAGGGGAACAGACGCACAGAGAGTTCCAGCTCCATGGAGGCCTCCACCCATGTGGAGTTCAGTGCAAGACTGCGGCCCAGATAACGTGACTAACCTCACACAGGAAAGCGTGTGGCAGAGTCTTGAGCTGAACCCAGCTCTCTGGGGTCCCACTCCAGTGCCTTACCCAAAAAGCCAGCAGCCTTCTCGTCCTGGGCGGTTAAAATCAGAACGACTGGGCACATGGCAGTATTGTACAGATGCGATCTCCACTCTACAGAGCCGACAGGCAAAAGATAATTCAGATCTTTGAACATCACAAAGAGTAGTAGGATTGGCTGGGAGTCTCCCGGAATTGACCTCAATCTCCTGGTTGCTATTGCAAGCAATCTGGGAGATCTGAACAGGCCAAAAGTCTGGTCGACGGGGGCAGCGCAACCGAGCTGAGGCAGACTCCCTACCTGCCCTGGCTCTGCGCGGCTCCTGGAAGCGGCGGCATGTCCGGCTTCTAAGTGCAGGCAGGGGCGGCCAGGGGGGTCTCTGTGCGCTGCCTCCACCCCAATCGCCCGCTCTGCAGCTCTCCTTGGCGGGCCCTCGGATAAGGAGCGGGGCCTCAGGGCAGGGGGTGGGGCAAGGGTGTTTGGGTTTGGCCCAGACATGCCAAACCCAGGAAAAAACACAGAAAATGGGCTTGTTTTTGGCTTAATTGGCTTGTGAGTTGCTTGTTGGCTAGTTTTTGGCTTGTACCTTGTTGCTTGTTTGGCTTGTAGCTTGTAGTAGCTTGTTTATTTTTTGTGATTGGCTACCAGCAAGCAGGGGGGAGGCGGGGAAAGAGTCGGGGTGCACAGCGGGCCCACCGCAGTGCCAGACTGCAGGCCGGGGGGGGGGATCTAGTCACCTAGAGGGTTGGGGTTCTTAGGGATTGGCTTGTTCGGGCCTTGTTTTGAAATGGGATTAGTTTGATTTTTGGCTTCTTGTGAAATTCGGGAGCTTATGTACCGCGTGAACGCTGCCAACTGTGCTTTGGACTTTGTGCGATTAGCCAGTTGGCAACTCTGGGAGGAAGGAGCGACACTTACTAATTATTATATCGCCCGGCTTGGTGCTTTGCAAAACACCAGCCTCCTACAGCCCCCACGCCCTGAGCACTTTGCATCCTCAGCAGGACACACATCACACAACGCAGGGCCAAGCTAATCGGCCAGTGCCCCTGGTGCCCTCTGGGCTGTTCCACCCTGGGTCTCCCCCTCCCCCTGCAGCCCGGTGCACTCTGGGCTGTTCCACCCTGGGTCTCCCCCTCCCCCTGCAGCCCGGTGCACTCTGGGCTATTCCCCCAGGGTCTTACCCTCCCCCTGGCCACTGCAATCGGATAAACAAGCGCGCGATAACCCCTGCCCTCCCCTGATTGGTGACTGCGAGGGGCCGGAGGCGGGCCGCTTTCTGCCGGGGCCGCCCTCTTCGGCCGCTGATTGGTCGGAGCGGCCGGGGGCGCGGCGCTGGCAGCCGAGGGGGCGGGGCGCCCGTCGCTGATTGGCGGAGCGGCCGGGGGCGGGGAGGCTTGGGCCGGCCGTTGAGGCGGAGCCCGGGTGCCGTTGCCATGAATTGGGGCCGCCTGGGCAGACGGGTGCTGCTGTGCGGGACACTAGGCGCGCGGGGTCTGAGCCGGAGCATGGTGAGTGCGGGGCCGGGCCGGGCTCGCGCTCCCTCAGGCCGCCCCGCTCTATGGTCCTACCATCGAGTCGGCGGGGCGGCTAGAGAGGACCTCGCCCCCCTCCCCCCCCGAGAAGGGGCCCGTTCGGCGGCTCCCCCTGCCCGGCCCTGAGGGGCGGCCTGAGCCCCCGGGGCG